GCTGTGCACTGAGACCTGGCCACCATACTGATTGCTTAGCACGTTCTCGACACTTAGCTATACCTTGGTGTGCGGTGGGCAATTTTTCCAAGATATCACTCTGTAAAGATTTCGGAATTACCAGTCGACAGCCTTTTAACAGCAGTCCGTTTTCTACCGTTAACTCCCCAGCAAATTGGAAGTATGGCTGCACCATGGCTTCAACTCTTCTTTTGGTTGGCCAGCCCTCAAGAGAGTATTTCTTCACCAGCTGTAAAACTGGATCAGCTTCCTGATGTTGCTGAATTTCGTGAAGTCTCTTTTCAGTAGCAGGCAAGCTTGTGACAACTGAATTCACATACAGGTTCAACTCTTCTTCATTTTGCCGTTTGTCTCCTCCTTCTCCAGGTGCTCTGGAGAGGACATCAGCAGTCGCAATGTTCTTCCCTGTAACGTGTGAAATAGTGTAAGTGAATTTCATGAGTCTCATATGCAGTCTTTGAATACGTGGTGGTAATTCGTCTAGGTTTTTAGAACCAAGGAGAGGTACCAAGGGTTTGTGGTCTGTTTCTATGTGAAAAGAAAGACCCACCAGAAAGTCTGAGAACTTCTAGAGTGCCCAGGTGACAGCTATAGCCTCCTTTTCGATTTGCGCATATTTCCGTTCTGTGTTTGTCAGTGCTCTTGATGCATAGGCTATGGGTTTAAGCTGTTTGTCACCTTGAATTTGTAGCAACACAGCTCCCAGCCCATATGATGATGCATCTGCTGAAACAACTGTGGGCGCTTTCAGGTTGTACAGAGCAAGCCCAGGTGGTGTACTCAAGTCTTGTTCAATGTTCTCAAAAGCCTTCTGTTGTGGCTCTCCCCATGCCCACATATTCTTTTTCTGCAGGAGATCTCTCAAAGGTTTTCTCCGCTAGGTTAGGTAAAAATTTCCTTAGGGGATTTATCATACCCAAGAATCTCCGCATTTCACTCGTGTTTGTTGGCTCAGTCATATGTGTGATCGCCCGAACCTTCTCAGGATCTGCATGAACTCCTGACTCATCAAGTATCTGTCCAAGAAACTTCACACTCCTCTTTGGAGTATTCGCATTTCTGATTGAGAGTCACTCCGCCCTTTTGCAGTACCGCAAAGAGACGTTGGTCATGTTCTGTCTGGGACGCTCCAAACACTAATATGTCGTCCATGTGGCACAGAACACCCTCTAGACCCTCCAGCATCTGTGACATTCTCTTTTGGAAATGTTCCGGGGCTGAAGATATCCCAAAACAAAGTCGGTTGAAGCAGAACCTTCCAAAGGGGGTAATAAAGGTTGTGAGAAGGGCTGAATTCTGTGACAGAGGGATCTGCCAAAACCCTGAATTGGCGTCCAATTTCGAAAAGAATTTGGCTCCTTTGTGTTCCATCGAAGGAAGAATGTATTGTCACGGGGTGAAGAATCACACGACAAGGATGGCTCAATAAATGCCCCGGAGGGTGGATTTATTTACAGGAGGGTGTGAAAAAGAGAAAGGTCCAGGTGGGTGCTCCGGTGCCGTGAGTGATCTCTTCCTTCCGTGTCCACTTTGAACAGCACATCTGAATCATTCACTTTAAGTTTTATCAGCCAGGGGGCATCACTCTGCTCTGTATTGACAGTGCCTAAGAATGCTATGTCACTCTCATGTTCCTCGTGGCTCATATTCACTTCACTTATGCCTCTGGACCTGCAAACTTTAGCATAATGCCCTTTTTTCCTACAAAGGTTGCAGTATGCCTGTTTTGCCGGGCAGTGAAATTTACTGTGAGATGGAGTTTTTCCACACCTCTTGCATGGAATGGTCTTATCGGATGCTGTCTGTTTTTCTGTCATTCTAGCAGGCCTCCTACTCTGCATCATGCCTCGTCCTTTATTATAAGGTCTTTGCTGTGCATGTACAATGTCAATATTTGTTGCAGTGTCACTTTTGAAATTGGCTTTCAGCTCCTCTTGCTGTTTTTTTACCAGCTCACTTTGGCGTATGCGTATGACAGCCTTCTCTAAAGTGAGTTCGGGATCCATCTGAAGTTGTTCTGACAGTCTTTTATCTCTGAGTCCAACCACTAATCTGTCCCGAATCATTTCACTGTATAAGTGTCCATATCCACAATGCTCTGCCAGGCATTAAATATGCTGTGATGAAATTATCTGCAGACTCTCCTGCTTCTTGCTGTCTCATGTTAAACTTTGCACGTTCAAATATTACATTTCTTCGTACAACAAAGTGCTCATTCAGTCTCTCTATGACAGTATTATACTCACTGAGCTTATGTGAGACGTAATGATGTGAGGATGTCCTCTGTCTCATCACCCATTGTATAAATGAGAGTATTCACTTGGTTCTCTTATATATATAGCATGCAAATTGTCTGTGAACTGATTTCCAGCTTCAAGGAGAAAAAGAAAAACAGATTATGCAGGAGGGAGACGCAAGGAACAGGGATTGGGTGTTCTGCAAAGAGAGTTGGAGGTAAATAATTTTGCAGTAACTATTATGCTGATGTTGTGGCTGGTCAAGCAAATGTAGGCGCTTGTTTCTGTATGATATAATTGTTCATATATCTATTAAAATACTGATATTCTGGTCTATAACTCCTCCCCGAACTTCCCGCTGCCCTGTATCTTGGTCTCTCTGTTCTTTCTGCCTCAAAATGACTTGATTTCATTCATGGTTGTTATATTTGACAGATTATAGCTCATTCAGTCCTTTTTACCTGTTGAAATATTTTTGACAACAACCATGAATGAAATCAAGTCATTTTGAGGCAGAAAGAACAGCTCACTCACTAAGTAGAGTCTGTAATCACTTTTTGGCAAGTGTAAAATGGACGGACGCGGACGGCAATCAGTTTTCGGCAGACGATCAATTTTCGGCACGACACCGGCTAATACGGGACGGTTGGCAACCCTAGTTACAATAAACATCAAACTACAGGGCTACAAAACTGTTCAACAAGCCTGGTTAATTTAAATATAAAACTATAACAATGATATAAGGATTAAAATAAGGATTTAAATAAGCAAATATTGAAAAGTCTAGGATTCGATCATTATTGCAGTGATTAATATGTGTCTGGCATGTTATGTTTTCCAATAATTCTTTTAATTAGTGTGTGTGTAGCTTTCATTTCTTAAACAACCATGTTGGAAGATATACCCATGTATTACCTACATATTCCAGGATGATATTGTCGAGATTCATTGGACCCAAATTGTGAAATAGTGGTTCAGTGAGCATGAACCACAGTTTCCTGAGCTTAACCCTATTGAAAGTCTTTAGGATGTGCTGGAGTCACGACTTTACAGAGTGGTTTGACTCTCCCATTGTCAACCAAGATCTCGGCCAAAATGTTGCATAAGTTTGCCACAACAATCCCACAACGAAAGCACCATATGTGTATCACAATGTTAGCTAAAAGCACTCCAATGAAATATTGAAATGAAATAATAGTGTGTGCATCTTTTTTTCTGGACAGGAAGTGTAAAGTCGACTTTAGCACATTCCAAAGACTTTCAGTTGGGTTAAGGTCAGGACTATGTGGTGGCCAATCTTTCACAGTTTGAGCCTGATGAACCTTGGCATTGCCATCCTGGAATATGGACATGGGTATGTCTTCCAACATGGTTGTTTAAGAAATAAAAAGCTACGCACTGCATCAGTTAGGGTTAAAAGAATCGCTTCCAAACATACAACATGCCAGAAACATATTAATCACTGCAATAATAATTCAGTCTTAAACTCTTAGGTATTTGCTTGTTTAAATCCAGACAGCGACTTTATAAGCACTCTCCACACAACTGCGATTCATTTGAAGAGCACGTATCAGAGTGAATTTCTGCATGTTGATAGCAGAGCTATGTGCGATAATGCATACAAGTTTATTAGTACACATCCATCATTAAGATTACATTGCAATGCTAAATACATGCTTTATTCATCATATGTTCTCATAGTTATTTTGTTTTTTAAGTTATAATTTTGTTACAAAATACTACTGTTTTGATCTGTTTGCTGTTTGCTTTTTGTAATGGTTACTATTTACTTTTGTGTGATTTTTAAAATGTATTAAAACCAGTTTGACCTGGAAACATCTTTTTTTTTTTTTTTTTTTCATAGTTGCAATTGAGATTTCAATGATATTTTGACCACTGAACTAGGACATGTCTCTGGTTCCCATTTAAGAAATCTGGTCACCTTATTTTAAATAGTTTATTTTTAAGAAATCAGTTGAATTGAAAATCCAACTATCGAGTCATCTTTTGATCTGATGACTTGTACTGAATTAGTAGGGCCCAATTGTTCTTTTGAATCATTCTTTTTGATTTGTTCTTTTAAATGAATCATTTAACTATTACATCATAACATCCTATTACTTGTTTCGCTTCTGTTATAGTTTTTATAACCGTTTCTTACTATGTGTAAGTAAGTTGTTTTTTAGCATGTGTGTTTGGCAGTGTTCTTTTTTAGGATTACTGATAAACTACTGTCATTTGATTTGTATTATTTGTATTTGTTATTTATTTAAATTTTAGTTAAATTATGTCTGAATTTATTATGTCTGTATAGGTCTTTTATTAAGTTTTTAGTTTTATTTAATTTATTTGAGTTATTTTAATACTTAAACAAATTGGAAATGAAATAATATATATATATTGAATTTATAAATGTGTATCATTATTATACTCTTATACCTTTTGTTCTTTAATATTTTTAATTGTTTTTAGCTTTATCGTTTGTTTTTCATTTAAATGTTAGGTTTTGAAATTTTGTTGTATGCATTTGTCGTTTTTATTTAATCTCTTTATTTTAAAATGTGTATAATATTTAGCTTATATTTCATAGCTTTTAGTTTTGGATCTGTTTTTAGTTGTTTTAATACTACAATTGATTGCTTCTGTTGTCCTCATTTGTAAGTCGCTTTGGATAAAAGCGTCTGATAAATGACTAAATAAATAAAATAAAATCAAAAACTAAAAAGGAGATTTTCTCAATGGAGAAACAGGCTTTTTTACCAACATTTGTATTGGAAAGATCTGGATGTACTATAGCACCCCACATTATACAACACCATAAAATCAGTTTACACATTTTGTTTCATAATGGCTAATTTGTTTTCTTTTAATATTTCAAAGCATTTATCATATATAAGAATAAATAAACATGACCTGAATTAGCATGAGAACTTCAGGTATCCAGGCTTTCAGTAACAGCATTTAAAAGTTGGCAGCAAATTATGCAACTCATCAGGGCAAAATTAATAAAATGAAAGGGCATATTTACTCTCATATGAGAAATATTGGAATCGTGCATTATGAGGTTTCGATGTCATACTCATTTCTTGAACATGTTATCCTGTGTAGTTTTCAGTAGTGTGTATATTACATCATTCTGAGAGATGAATCATCTGTTTCCGCTGCTAGAGAAAGCAAAATAGCTTTTGGACTATTCTCAAACAGGGCAGCTCTGTTCTGTGTCTGGCCCTTCTTTACCCAGTGTCCATAAATCTTGAATGCGCAGGCATCGATGAGTTTGCGAATAGGCTTTACTGCATAGGGGTCACTCTTGATCACTTCTTTGGTAACTGGCTTGGCACGTCGATAATTGCAGTAAATGCGCATTGTTGCCAGAACTGTCATGCAGATTACCTGAAAAACACAAGTGTTTGCAATAAACCTACATTGGGGCAATTTTTACCGTTATAAGGGCAAACCTTTTCTGTATTCATCCTCTTTTATGTCAAATTCTTAAATGTAGTCATTCAATTCAATTTGAATAGACATTGTTACTAATCAAATGAAATCAGCATCAACAAAATCCATCTTTGCACAGATGGCACAGAAGTGGCATTTAAAGGTGGGTTAAGTGATTTCTGGTAGCCAATGTTGACATTCACCAAAACAAACACGCCCCTATCCCAAAAGGTTATCGACCCTATTTTGATAGCTCCGCCCCACACATACGTACGCAACCCAGGCAACGATTAGTTCTGTGAAACAAAGCAAAACCAATGTTACACCGTGTCTACACCGGACGCGAGTGGAGCGGCGCAACAAAATACTATAGAACTCATTATAATCAGTGCTTTTGTTTTTTATCTGCCATCTCTATCTTTCTGTCGCTCGGCTCGGCTAATGTCCGTCCAGTCCTGTGCTGTGCACTGAACGCTCTCTCCTCCACATCATGAGTAGACACGCCCCTTACTGCTGATTGGCTACAAGTTTGTTTTGCTATTCGGCCCGAATCAGTTTTCTAAAGTGTTTTTGAAAAATCGCTTACCCCACCTTTGTGTATTTACACCACCTGTTTAATGCAACTCAGTGGTGGCATAAATACTACAAGTACAAATTAATGTTAATGTTATGAGAATGTTTTACATATACAATTATGAAAACAGAAACATCAAATGATGAGGTAAAAAATAAATGACAGCCACCTTTTAAAAACTACAACCACAATTAGGTGAGTCATTGAATCATTCTTTCAACCAGTTCGTTCAAAATGGCTAATTCATTCAGGAACAATCCAAGTAACTGTCTTTCTCAATGGGACACTGAATCATTCATTCAAAAATGCAGATTTATTCATTAACGAAACACCACTGTGTGTTGCTCAGACACACACAATGGTTTTCCTCTGGTTTATTTATTACATAATTCAACATTATTCTTAATTATATATAGACCCCACCTTGAACTTCCTGTATGGGCTGAAATGTCGCACCTCTGCGACCACATACTGCTGGAAGAAAGGGTGGTTTAAGGCATCTATGGCAGTGTAACGTGCCTCAGGATTCACCACCAACAACCTGGAGATCTGAAAAAGTTTACACACCCCACACACACCACAAAGTTCAGGTTAGTGGATCCACTGTAGGCTTGTATTCATTGGCTGGTAAAGCTAAACAAGTGTATTCCACTATTTTGGTATTCCCAGATCTGCTTCAGACGCACCAGGTCTTTGACAGTGTCTGAACGGTCGTCCCACTCCGGAGAGGTGAACTGGTAGCTTCCCGCCAGGATCATGCGCAGCATTAGCATCTGCTTCCTGTGCCAGAAAGGAGGAGAACCTGCAAGAAGGGTGTACATGATCACCCCTGCACTCCAGCTGAAAAACACAAGAAACGGTGCGATTTCTCAATTCAGCCCTACTTAGAAGTAGAATGTAAACTGGTTTCATAAGCTTGCCTTTGGCCATCAAGACCAAGCTCTTATATGAATGTTATGAAAAGTCTTTCCCCAATATATGAGGGTCTCACAGATCGACGGCGGTCCCGTAACCCTGGTGGTGAGGATCCATAGAGCATTCGATGATCTCCGGGGCTAGATAGCCTGGCGTTCCACAAACCTCTATGTGTGACAACACAAGATCAAAGGAAGCTCTAATGAAACACATATTTGTTATGTATTTGGGATCCAAATATGTGACCCTGGACCACAAAACCAGTCATAAGGGTACATTTTTTTAAATTGAGATTTATACATCATCTGAAAGCTGAATAAATAAACTTTCCATTGATGTATGGTTAGGACAATATTTGGCCGAGATACAACTATTTTATGCATATTACTAATGATAATACATTTATGATATATTTACGGTAGGAAATTTACAAAATATCTTCATGGAGCATGATCTTTCCTATGATTGTTGGCATAAAAGAAAAATCGATAATTTTGACCCATACAATGTATTTTTGGCTATTGCTACAAATATACTCGTGCTACTTATGACTGGTTTTGTGGTCCAGGGTCACATATGTACTATTTATATCAGCATGTTACAGTATAAATGACAATTTTTTTGGTTGAATCTCATGTAAAGTAAGTCAAATATTTTTATTGTGTTGTATTAATGTAGTATATTAGTGAAAAACATTCCGTCCAATCACATTTTGCCCAGACTAAATTGTCAGCAAAAATGTAGATTAAATCAGCATAAATGTACAGTAGATAGTAAAAATAGAGGTATATATGATGATGTAAAAAAAGAAAAAAATATTTAAATAATAAATCTTATATTGTTACATCTTATAATTTAATACAATAAGGTTATAGTATAGTTTTTTAGACACTTTATAAGATTATATTATATTAAAACATTGGTTACATTAAAATATTATGTTTTGCATAATGATTTATTATCCATATAAAATCATACAATAAATTATAAGATTATATTAGAATATTATATATGTTAGAATATCTTTACATATTATATTTTAAAAGATACGTAATGATTTTTAATAAGTTTTTTTTGCATTACAGTAATTTGGATGAAATTCACCCTTTTACAGTCTTATAATAAAGTGTATTAAAATCTCCCTCATTAGTTAGCCATGCGTGAAACATACATTTATGTAATTGACTGGTCATTCTTGGAACAGTGACGGCTACTCTGTTCCTGGTTAAAGGTCAGAGGGCACACCAAATAGCAATTAGCTCCTCCAGTTCCAGTAACATCTCATATACGGACAGCATGAAACCCGAATCCAAGGGTTGCACAAACCTGACAGCTACTGGTCAGAAAATGCAGGGCATGTAGCTAGTAGGGGTGTAAATTTAAAGGGGTCATATGATGCGATTTCATTTTTTCCTTTCTCTTTGGAGTGTTACAAGCTCTTGGTGCATAAAGAAGATCTGTAAATTTGCAAAGACTAAAGTGTTTTGTAAAAATCGACGCGTTTCAAAAAGGCGGGGCATAGAGGAGAAACAATAATGTACAGTATGTGGAAAATAATGTGTTTTTTTTACTTTAAACCGCATAAACACATTTCATTACACCAAATACACAAAATAATGTTCTTTTTAGCAGCATCATATGACCCCTTTAATATTTCATCATGATACAATCTGACATTGATTCTCTTAGCCAGTGATACGACATTTGCTAAATATGCCACAATATGATTAAGATTTGATTAGATTCAGGGGCCTGCGATCGATATATCAATAGTATGATGATATCATGTGCCTATTTTCCAGTTACATACACGCGTTAAGTTAGTAAAAAAAAACATCAAGTCGCATACCATTAAGTTTTTGTCCTGGTGCAATCTGCACAGCAAAGCCAAAATCAGTGAGTTTGATGTTCATGTTGTCATCCAGAAGGATGTTTTCTGGCTTTAGATCTCTGTGCACAATGTTCTGAGAGTGAAGGAACTGAACCACCTCCAACAGGGACCGCATAATCTTCCTGCAAAATGAAAACAGAGAATATTTTTACATTACAATAATGAGAAGTAAAGGGGGAATGTGCTTAATTGTCATGAAAATAATGATCGTAATTTTTATGCATTTATTATTTGATACTGTTGATTTTGTGGTGAAATATGACCTGCATGGGTTTCATGAGATCCGTTATAAATGATACTAACCTTGTCTCTTTTTCACTGAGTGTAACCTTCTCGGTTAGGTAATCAAAAAGCTCTCCTTTCTTCATTCTGTGAGAACAATATTTACTGCATTTAACTATTTTTCAAAAAGGTTTAATTAAATGCCAGACCACATGTACCTCCAGATGTGTTTGAGACTCATAATTCCATTTCTGTTCATTAAAAATGCCTGTGAAACTTGTTCAGTTTATGTCTCAGTTGTTGAACTTTTTATGTTAAAGGGGTTATATGATGTTGCTAAAAAGAACATTATTTTGTGTACTACAGCGAGAATAAAAGTTATGCTTTCTTTCTTTGCGTGAACATTTGGGTGGTGTTATGCAAATCTTCCCACATCGTGACGTAGACATGTGGGGGCGTGTTAGAACGAGCCGTTTTAGGTAGGTGTGGCTGACTCTTAACTTTTATAAAGAATATCTCTTTGGATTTGAGACTTTAGTCTTTGCAACTTTACAGATCTTCTTTATGCACCAAGAGCTTGTAACACTCCAAAGAGGAAGGAAAAATTTAAATAGCATCATATGACCCCTTTAATACAAATATCTACTTGCTGGAAATAAAAGCAGTTGAATGTGAGAGGACGTTTCTCATTTTTGCTGAGTTTATAGTATGAAATCACACACCATGAACTCTACTTACAAGTCAAACACTAAGAAGAAGAAAGCTTTAGTTTCAAAGGAATCCTTCAGTTGAACTGGAGAAGCAAAGAAACAATGTGTTCAAACCATAGACTTTCTCAACAAGATACGGTTACATTTCACGATTTAAAGCTGCTACTTTGTGGATACTTACTGATATTTTCTTGGCCACACACTTTCTTGAGGATGTCTATCTCCTTTATTGTGGCATTTCTGATCTCCTCGATCTCCTCAGGGCTCATCTTATCTGACGGCGTGATGTCTATGATCTTGACTGCATATTCCTGAGCGACGCGCTTATGGATGCAGCGTCGAACCACACTGCTCACCCCTCTGCAACACAATCACCATCAATGAGGAGAACTACTATTCTCAATATACAAAACACTTGAAATCAAACAAAATCACTTCATGATCAAATCATTTGTCTTCTGAAGAAAATAATGGGTTGTGTAGTATATAACACCGATTGCATTGTATAGTGAACTCATTTTGCAGCTTATAATGCACAGGGAATCAGTTATGAATGTTAAATGAATAATGTAGGGAAACTAAAATCCCTAAACCAGTACAAACGCACCAACACCTTGCTGTCAAGTAACTTTCATGAAATTACTATTATTCAACTTTTGCGGTTATAAGTGCATTTTCATTTTAGTTCATAACTCTGGAGCCATAAACGCTAAAACAAAAATTATATTTCTCTCGGAATTCCTAAAATAATCCATATGTTTAATACACCATTCTATATTCCGTTTTGCGAACTCTTCCTGGGTCATTGGTTTGATTTGCATAAAACTCGGCATGCATCATCTTAAAGGTGCAGAAGAAGATCTTGGAAAATGCTAACTTTAGCCTGATAGCACTGAAAGCGAACGACCCACCCTCCCTGCAATCGCCGTCCAAAGCCACGCCCCCTGAACGCATATACGCTCACAGACCAGAATACCAGAGACAACATTACTACAATAGGCTACATCAGCGGTTCCCAATTCCAGCCCATGTTCAGAAGTGAACTAAACTTAAACGGATTTCCCCTGCTCAGGGAGGAGGGAGCAATGAACAGGGGGGCGCGAGGACAGGAATTGGGAACCGCTGGGCTACATCATGTGTCATTCACCGGTGAGAAAACTTTAAAAGTACTTCAATACCAGGAAGGAAGATCGGGAGAACCCGGTGCGCAGAGGTATGCTAATACATAAGTTGACAGGCAGGTAGGAAAGCCAATTAAAACGCTCGGACCGAACGTTTTGATTGGACGAACATTTCTTGGTCCTACGCCTTCCACAGAATATATAAATACAGATAAATACATTTAGACCACTTAACTTAATGATTGCTATCGGGATGTGAAGAGACTTTCAACCAGCATAACAAAAAATTTTTCTGAAGACAATCACCTATTGCACCTTTAAGACCCTCAGGACAAAATGTTATCAAGGTAACTACATGAGGCTATGATATTATACTGCTACTTCATCATCTTAACAGTGCTTTTTACATGAATAAAAGACAAGTAGGCAATGAAATAGTGTCAGGGTTGCTGAATTAGGAGTTTGTGACTACAGACACAGACACATATCATAATAAGTGATGTTAAAATGAAATATTTGATAACTATAAAGGCTATTTATTTAATAAATCATAAACATTATAAATATGCATTAAAAAAGGTACAGGCTACACAGTTTGGTTAAACTCAACTGAAGTAAACCAAAACCAGTCCACATAGTTTGGTCACTTGGCAACCAAACCGGATTTAGTTTCGAAACTTAGACACTAAGACAAAACTTCGAACCAATATGGTGTTCATTATGGTGCACTGTGAATTTCATTCTCCTCTAGTTGTATTTGGTGTTCATTAAATTACTGACAATTACTGAGATTATTACTATTGATTATTAATAATCCAACAAAAGCGTTCAAATATCCATCTTGGCCAAAATAAAACGAAAAATTTGGAAATGAATATAAGCAACAAAAAAAAGTCATTACTATCATGTGAAGAAAAAAAAATGTGTTTCTTAAATTGGCCTGAAATTTTTTGGTCTTCACTAATATATCTGTACAATATGACAATACCTTCCAAGGATCTCCTTTGGATCATACTTCTCATAGAAGTCCTGTGATCCAGCCCAGTCAGGAATTTCATCTTCTTTGGTCATTATTATAAACTCACCTGTAAGAAAACTGGGTTATTGCAAACCTACTGGACATCAGACATACATGTTTACATTTGTTATGCTTAGGATAAATCTTTATAAGTTTATTATAAAGTAACCAAAATAATCAAAACATTTAATAATAGTATAAGTTATAAACTAATAAAATAACACACTCATAATATATATATATATATATATATATACACACCACAAAACCTTTACATAAGAAGTATGTAAATTATGGTAATAACAGGGTACATTGAAATATACAAGGCTACTAAATAATCACCACATTCAAATACCATGGAATTTACATGGTACTACCATGCACATGTATGTAATTGAGTGATTCGTTTGCCGTAGTAATACCATGCAATACCATTTCTGACATATGCCTTGCTGTTCTTTAGAGTACTATGTAAATAGCAGAGTGATCTTATTATCCGGCTTCAATTAATATGGGTCAGAAACATGAGCGTGTTTTATGTGTCTGCTGCTTTATTTCTGTTACTGTTATTATTTGTAGCGTTCTGACATTAAAACTAGATTTATAACGAGCTGTGCTGGTCGTATTCGGTCATGTAACGTTACTCGCGATGCTTCTATACGGCAGCGGCAGCAGCTCCGCATCAACCGGAGGCGCAGCATCATGGACGGCGGCGGCGGCGACCTGCGTGACGGGAATCTGTTTCCACACAAGCGGATTACAAGCAGCAATTCACGGCGTCTAAATTCGGCATACCTTCTAGAATCGGTATTAATCCCGCGGTTCAACAGTGCTGCGGTCCTTCGGCTCGTGCAGTCGGCGGTCAGTCCATGTTCCAGACTTCCCCTCGTTAATATACCGGGAGAGATACGACGGGTCTGCTGCCGTCAACAACACAGCGCCGAAAGGGCAAATGTGAATGTCAAGATCCAAAAATAAAAAAGCCTTATTAAAGACAGGACAGTCCCATATCGTATTATCACTGACGGTTATGCACGCTAATAAGAAGAAAACCGGTTCACACCGACATTTCTGTATCAGTTAATTATAATGTAAAATAAATAAATAAAAAACACACATTTACAATTTATTCTTTTATTTAAATGTAAGATCATATATGGGGGATTTGATATCTGGTCCTGCTATATATTTGAATGGACAATTTGGGGGAAAACGACAGCAAGGAGCATTTGAATGTTTCCGATTCTTTTATTTGCAATTCAAGATCACATAATTTGAGTAAAACATTTAAATTATCCTGCAGAGAAATACACATTGTGATCTCTTCTACAGTAACTCAAGCAAAAAAAAAAAACTAAACAAAAAAAAACACCAAATCAGAAAGCTGCAGTTATCTACACCAAATATAGAAATACTATGCATCACATATGTTACACAGCATTTCGTCCAAGTCACTGATTTTATTTTTCACATAGGCCCCAATATCTGATTGAGATGCATTTTAAGAGGAAACTTTTTTATCCAGAAGCAAGCAGACAGTGAATGGCTATGGAATAGTCGTGTTTCCAATCCAAACCTCATGACAGTCCTGTGGGAGGAAAATCAATAAATTAATTAATAAATAGATAAATAAATAAATAACTTTAGAACAATACAACCAATATACTACAATGAAAAACCATAAGGGGGGAAAAAAACAGCAAAAGAATGTTGCCGGAGCAAACTGATGTAGGCATTACATAATCTATAAAACTGTATGTTGCATACACCATATATTGCAACAAGGGAACAACTTTGCATAAATATAATGGTTCATGTTAAACTACTGGTATTAACCATTTGTTCAGCTATTGATCAGCAGTTAACACGAGTCAAAAACTGTCAATTTTTGTAAATAAAAACTGTAAATAAATTGCTGTAATCATCAAGATGCCAATGCATGTGATCAGAACAACTAATATGTTATTAACGTGAATGATGCATCCTTTATGAAAAGGTCATTCTGAAAACGGCTGATTCCGGTTGAGTGCACAGCAAAGTAATTCTGTATTTGGCTGCTATTCTTTAATGACCCACCAGACGACGCCATTTAATGCTTTACTCCGATCAAGCTAGAAACACGCAAGCATTGTTCAATACATTCGGTAATAATAAACGTTCAGTTGTTTTCTAACAATAAGTGCCTTACTATCCCATCAGTCTGGCAGCAAATAAATCAAATAATTAACATTCAATTATCCAAATATAATTGACTAAAAAACTCGTTTACATTAGACATATAGGTGCAGATTTCACTCCTTTCACCACATTTTAAAACGTATGCTTTACTGCATTTCACTCAAAGCTTTAAATAAACCTTTAAAAGCATTTAATTCTACAAATTTGCAAACTGGTGCCACTAACAACTTCTGTGTACATACCACTGGAGAATTTGCATTGTTTAAGCACTTCGCTGAAGCCCTCGGGCATCTGAGATCAGCTCGATTTGAGAAAGGGGTAAAGATTTTAATAGATTAAAAAAAAAAAAAACACGGTGGATTTTTATCATTTTAAGGTGGTTGTGTACACACACTGCCAACACACATTTCAGTTCAAACAACTTGTAAAAGTGCATGTAGCATCCGATGACCCCTTTAAAAATATTTTTTTAGAGACTGTACTCACAAACAGCAGTTTCATAGCTTATACAATATATTAGCCCTTGTGAAAAAGAAGTGCTTAAATGTACTGAATGTGCACCTGTAGTGAACTTAACATCTTAAAAATATATAGTATTTTATGGTGTCCTTGTTACACATTACATGTACTTAGTATAATAATAACAATAAAATGTAACAAGGACACCATAAAAAGTGTATAAATATATATTTTTTAAACTGTACTGCAGATAATATCAATGAAATAATATTAATGAAATAAACAGCACTTAAGTGTGCTTAATAAGAGAACAACTTTCATGACACAGCTTTAAAACGTTTTAAAAACACACTTAAAAAAACTTTGTAAATATAAAATTACGTTTTAATGTCATTGTGTTTTAATAATCTTTTGTTGTACACCTATTTTGATGTCTTGACTAACATACTAAAGTACTTCATTATAATTGTAACTGTATATTTTATTACAGTTTTTACAGTTAGTATATTTAAAATGTACTAAATTGCTACTCCAACATTACAAATGTGCAACTACAAATATATTTATATACATGACATACAGGTTTCAATAGAAATTACATAAAGCATACTTTAGTTTACCATAAATTGATGTCAGTACCATATCTCAATAGAAGACAACAGAATGAATTGTGTAATAATGACATATGTGACCCAGGACCACAAAACTAGTCTTAAGTGTCAATTTTTCGAAATTGAGATTTATACACCATCTGAAAGCTGAATAAATAAGCTTTCCATTGATGTATGGTTTGTTAGGATAGGACAATATTTGGCCGAGATACAACTATTTGAAAATCTGGAATCTGAGGGAGCAAAAAAATCTAAATATTGAGAAAATCGCCTTTAAAGTTGTCCAAATGAAGTCCTTAGCAATGCATATTACTAATCAAAAATTAAGATTTAATCTATTTACAGTAGGAAATTTACAAAATGTCTTCATGGAACATGATCTTTACTTAGTATCCTAATGATTTTTGGCATAAAAGAAAAATCAATAATTTTGACCCATACAATGTATTTTTGGCTATTGCTACAAATATACCCCAGCGACTTAAGACTGCTTTTGTGCTCCAGGGTCACATATGAAGATGTACCAAAATCCTACGAAAGTGGATATTAAAAACACGAAATAAAATACATTTTAATTTAATTGCAATTAACATGTAATTAAGTGTCCAAAAAACATATTCAGTTTGCAATTCTAAAGTACATTATTTCTGTAACAAGTACTCTTTTTAAAAGTATGCAAAAGTGTACTACTTTTTCACAAGGGAGAGCTGAGTGCATCTATTCAAACAAGTAGTTTGGATTTGTGCTCACCTGATAGGTAACATCAGGCCTGGCAGCTTCTGAGTTTCCACCTCCACTGAAGCCGCCAGTCATGGCGTGACCTATTGTGTGTCCGACAGCAGAGCCGACAGCAACGCCCGCCGCAGTGGACGCCATCTGGGCGAACATTCCCGGCTGACGGGGAGCAGCAGCAGGAGCCGCCACCGCTGATGGTGGAGGAGGAGCGGGCGCTGGAGCGTATGATTGTCGAGGAGCTGCTCTGGCCATTGGTGGAGGTGATGGTGAGGAGTAACTAGAGTGAAACCACACAATCATTGACCTGTACAGTAAGATCTCTTAATACAAGGTTCACGCACTAATGAATTTCCATGACAGATTTGGGTTTTCATCAATATTTGATATTTTTATGGCTGTTGGTTCCTATATGGTTGCTATGCAAGACCAAATAGTGACTGATACACAATACATATTGGTACTATATGGGTTTTCAGTTAGGGATGCACCGATACCACTTTTTCCAGTACTCGCCCGATACCGATACTTTTATTTTTGGTACTTGCCGATACCGAGTACCGATACCAATATTTTTATTGCATTTGTAAATGTTTTAAATATTGGGTACAGAAACCAAAAGAGTATGTATAATGTTAGTTGGTTAACTTCATTTATCAAATAGATACAGTCAAACCAAAATCTATT